TCAGCATGAATATTCGTTCAACAGGATTCTCTATGCCTGCACAAGTCTCGATGAGCCTTCACTCGCCTAAACGTGTCTATATATAGATTGCATTTCTCCTAGAACACTCTTAATACACTTGGAACCCATTTTCTTACAGAAACAAAATAAGCAGTCTCTTCTATGCTGTCTTTCATTCCCTCAAACCAGTGCAATCAGCGTGCATTGTATTATCATGTGCGGATGAAGATGAGACAGACGACAGACCACATTGTACACGAATAGAAGCAAAAAAGGAAAAGGTCAATTAAGACCTTGTTTGGTTCATATTATTTTTAAAATACATCTCTCTCTTACTTTCAACCACATTTTCCAATAAAATAATATTACACGTAAATCAAAAAAAATTCTTATTTTTTAATCACGCATTCTCTATGAAAATATTATTCCAAAATGCATTATTATTAAAAAAAAAAAAAAAGGGACTCAAAACATGCTCTAAATGAAACTATCGATAGGTAGGGCTGTAAATAGATCGGATATGGATCGGATCTGCATATATATGATCTGATAAGAAAATTATCCAATCCGATCCTATCCTATCGATCCAACGGATATTTGATTATTAAATCCATATCTGATCCAATAATCCGATCCGAAAGTAATAAAAATTAGGGAAAAAATCAATATTCTTTAAAAAATGGTAAAAATTCAGTTTTCAGAAGTTTACTTTAGGCAATTTCAAAAATGACAAAACATCTTTCACTTTTCTAAAATCAGAGAATTTAACCTACACACACACACACACATATATATATATAACATGCCCCCACCTTTACCGCTCCGGCAACTAATCCGGCGACCTCTCCGACGACTATTCCGATTTCGATGACTGTTCCGGCGACTGCTCCAATTTCGACGAATCGAGTCACAAATCACAGCCCAGATCACAACTCAGGTCACAGTCCAACTCTCAAATCACAGCCCAGGTCACAACTCAGGTCACAAGTCACAGTCCAGGTCACAACTCAGGTCACAAGTCACAATTCAGGTCACAACTCAAAATTTTGTTCATAATCACGGGTTATTTTCAAATGATCACAGCACAGGTTACAAAAATTTTTTGTATATGGCTTAGATTAATATTTAGTTACAAATTGTCGAATTTTAATGTCACGGTTAATCCATTATGCGGCCCCAATTGGTCACGAAACACAACACAAATTCAAACAACTACTGCCCGCACAACCACAACCACCAGACCATCGCCTGCATCGCAACAAAAAAGCCTCAACCACACTACCTACAAAAAAACCACCATCGTCGGCACACCAAGCAAAAAATCCCCCCAATCCAACACAAACACAACCACAGCATCCACCAAAAATTCCCAAATCCACCACAAACAGCAAAAAATCCCCAAATTACACCACAACCACCAAAAAATTCCCGAATCCTCCGTCCCCGCTGCCACTGCACACAGTAGTGTCGCCGCGCTCGTTAGAGAAAAGGCAGTGGTAGTAAATTGTAGTCCCGACGGCTCTGTCCTTCTCTCTCTAGACTCTCAACAGAGTCCACCTTGCGTCTACACCAATTCCAAGCCACCACTTCAGATCGTCAATGTTGGTGCTGGTTAATTCAATTAATTTTTGAATTGTTCAGTTGCATGATATTCTTCGGTGACTTTTGGCCCTAACGATCTGGTTTGCTGTCGGACCTTACAAGGTCACACATGAAAGGTAGAGAGAGGGGGCGTCGACTGTTGTAGAGAAGGAGAGGGATGTCGACTGCGCCGCGACGGTAGAGGGATCAATCGTCGAGAGCAGCAGTGGCACCTTGCTTTGCTCGCCGGTCGAGGCTGGTAATAAGGTGGCGGAGAGAGGTGATCGATGATAGGGAGGAGTTGTAGAGAGAGAAACGTTTGGGAGAGGAGAGCTGCAACGGCGAGCGGCGACGGTTCGGTGGTGAGACGGAGAGAGAGTGACAGAGGAGTGAGAGACGGAGAGAGGGTAACGTGATTTAGGATTTGAAAATAAATTTAGTGGTGAGGGTGGATGTATATGTATTAATTTTTATAATAATATTATCAATATTTAATTAAATATAAAAAACATGTATCTATATATAAAATATCTGATTTTTGAACATTAAAATTTGAAATCTGATTTTTGAATTTGTATCTTAAAAAGTAGAGCTCCATGTAATTACCACTATTTAATATAGTGAATTTTCTACTCATCTGCCCGTGATTTTTTCTGACTTGGATGTCCATCGTTCCACATAATTCTTGTATTTTTACTATTATTTTTATATTGCCTATCCTCGTGTTTCGTAACAACCTCCAGAATTACGTTTAATCAAATCTACTAACAATTCTAATTGCAGAATACGCAGGCAGGCCGTGGTCGCGGACAAAAAGTGAAATTATAAATTATAATATCAAAAACCCAATGATATCCAATTAGTAAGAGCACCAGTATCACCACCTAGGATACGCCAATACGACTACAAGATTCTTGGCTTAGCTTCAAAATTCACTCAAGTATGAAGTAAGCACTGAGGGTATATAACCTCCACTTTGCTAGTAAAAATTAGAGATAGATAAGTTACTTATTTTGACATTAATACCTACCCTCAAAATAAGCACCTTTTCTTTTTATTCTAAGAAAAACAATAATCCTCAAACACGTTTAGAAAAGAGCTTAGTTTGAATTACTTGTAAGCTAAGCGAAACATGTCAATTCCTGCAAGTATGATCTCGAAAATCTGGGAGCTTCATAAAGAAACATGTGAAAACCATAGATGAACTATACTAGTTGAATTTGATTATGCTACCGGTACATAAAAATGGTACATAAGAGATCACATAAAATGATGAAAAGGGAAAAAAATTGTCTTAGACCGAGAAATGATAGAATATCATGTCAATATTTATGTACATGTAACAAGATCCAGTTGAAATATACATTTTATCTGAATCTATCATTCATTAGTACTACCAGGACCAACAGAGCTCTAAAGCAAAAACTAGAACAAAGATTTCACATACGGCAAGCAGTAGGTGAACAAGCATTGTCGAACTAAACAAATGAGTAATTGGAGAAAACGATAGGCATAGCAGACAATTCAGTCATAGTTTAGACGAGCAACAGCTTAAACACTGTCCCAGTTACGAACATAGAAAATGAACATCATATATCAAAAGAGGATCAAGATGATATATTGAAGAGGTGACATGGCGATTAGTATCATAAAAGTAAAATTCGTTGCAGAATACAAAAGAAGCAGGCAGTGGCATATCAGACACAAATATGGTCAAGCTAGTCTCAGTGAAATTAGTTGCAACGAAAAGTGAATATGAGACATAAAAAAATGTCATGATGATGTACAAGAAAAAAAAAATTCTTACATCAGGATCTTCTTAAATCAAAGTATGCCATGGACAAGACATTTTAGCTAAGACAGATAAGAAATTTTATATCCACACCAATATCAGGATCTTCTTAAATCAAAGTATACCATGGACAGGGTGCACCCAGGATTGTTAGTTTGGCCAAGGCCGAGCAAATACACATCAAAGATGACAGTTTATGAAAATGACAGGTATTACGTGAACTGTGTTTCTCTAAACAATACCTCTTATTGATTCAATTCATTTGAGAATATCTTAGCTGTTTCTTTATCCGTACAAGTATAATTAAGAAGTTTGCAAGAAGATTGTCTTCTATTTGTTGTGATATTTTGCCTTCTATTTTGGGTGGTCAAACTTGAATAGTGAGAAGGATTTATGAAGGTTGATCTAAGAATTTATTAGGCATTGATGGGTATTCTGAAAACTTCCGGGAGGCCATTCCATCAAAGGGACATCCTGATCTTAATATCAGGAAAGCTATATACATAACATACTTTTACAAAATGATTCCGCTTGTCTCCCAGCACTAACACAGCATACAAAACAGCTGTATACTTTCCTCAGCACTGACCAATATGAACATATAAATCAGGATTAATTACCATAAAATCATTTATAAATTCATCCACAACACAGGGAAAAAGGCTTTAAGAAAGCATAACCAGTTTCAATGCAAAGATGAAACACACAGGTTGCGGACTATGTCAATCATTTACAGAACATAATGCAAAATGTTGGGTTTACCATATACTATAATGAAGAATGTGTATTCCCTGTGCATTATCAAATAGAACAAAGGGGTTAACAAAATACCAGCTTAGCAGGCTTTACAACTTCTAAATTCACTATTGTATATTTGCACTAGATGAATAGTGAAATTAATTTTAACAATCCCATACATTTCTGCTAATAACAAACTTGTTCAATTGAAAATTTCTCCAATACTAAATCTCTGTACAGCTCCAATCTCGGCAAGATACTTCATTAAGTGGACAAAATACAGAGTCAAACATTTAACCTTAGATACAACAGCAAAAGCATATGAAAGGGGGGATGAGCACTGAAGTAACATCTATCTCAAAGACATTAGAGAGGAATTTTTTTTTTTTTGAATATCTTTTGTAAGGTTCTATCAAAGCGGTCAATTCAATGGTTTAGTTACATTCAGTTCTTTTTTTTTTTTTTTACCTGTCCTTCAATTATTACTTACCAAAATCTCATCAGCAGCTAAATCAATAATAACAAACTTTAACTTTGAGGCTTCAAAGCAGTTCAGTTTCAATGACAATTTTATTTCCATCACCAATAGAAACCGAGACAAGCATGAAAAGAAGCCAATGTCATGTATAATGTAGATCCACACTAAGTCATATATTCAAAAGGAACAGGTAAAAATCTCAAAGAAAATGGAATTCATTAACTAATTGCACAATTGGGAAAAAACTTCAGAAGCCACTTAACTTTCAAGTCCATTAAAAATTATTTTGTTACTATAGAACCATCATTACAATCTACAAACAGTTCTTAAAACATAATCTATAATAACGTTCCAAATGAAAAACAAGAAAGCCTAAATTAAAATTGACAGAAGAGCATGTCAAAAACCTCATTATTCAGCAGTGTTACCCATCACAAAAGAGAATACTTCACGAACTGGGGGATACTCAACCAACCCAATATCCATTGCATATCCACTAATTGGCAGCTTCAGATCACGTAAAACAGTAAATGCCTCGGGCATACGAGTCTTTGGCACTTCTTCAGCTACTGGACATAAAGGAATCCATGTATCTGGACGGTGCTCATCCCCAACTTCAATACCCTCCTTCTTCATTGCATCACACAATTGCAAATGAAACTGAAGGAGAGACAAGGTCGGAGTCGGAGCAAGAAAGAGAACATTGTTTTCATTTGGGAGGCTACCAATTGAAGAGAAAGACATTGGTAAAGGTTCTTGCTTTGCAGCAAAATTCTTTATGATATTTTCAAGTTTAGAAATGTCAGCAAACGGGCTTGAATATAAGGTAATGTGAGGCCTAGATTCAATCTCAATGAGCTGAGTACTGATTTGTCGACGAGCCAACACATTCCAGGCCTTCAGGACCTGGTTTTCCAGAGCAGGATCGAAGTAAAGCTCAATCGCATAGCCTTGTGACATTGTCTCCAAAACTAAAATTCCAGAAAAGGAAAACAGAATAAATCAGATAGTTACAATTAAACACAAAAATCAAGAAACTTATAGCATTTAACAAATCAGACTATAATCACGCCACTAGAAAAAATAAAAGCAGCAAATAAACAGCGAGAAATGGAGCACAAGAGCCAAAACCCGTAAGAACGACACAAGATCTAAAATAAAACACTGAAAACGGAGAAAAACAGATGAATTACTATGAACCCATAAAAATCTAAAATCACCGTACGCAAATATCAGAATGAAATAGAAAATTAAAGCATAAAACCTAAAGAATTGATGGCACATACCCAATTAATATTAGAGACAATTGAGCCGAAATCTTGAAGCCCAGAAAATGAAAAACTGAGGGGCAAAGAATTCCCAAAAGTCTGAGCCTTAAGACAAATACAGGAACTTGACAAGCGTATGACGAAGAGTGAAGAAGTCTAATATATATTGTTAAGGTATCAAAATCCGAAAGCAAAACAGAGAATAAAGTAGAGGTCTAAGAAAAAAAGGGGTTTCTTTTTACGGGGAAACTGATTTCTTAAAAAATTTCTTGACGGTGAGTAGAGGGGTAGGGAATCGGGAAGACTTTGGCAGCAGCTTTTCCCCTCAGCAATTTTGCCGTGAACAGTCAAATATTTTTCACCGAAGTCCGTGGACATTAAAATCAAATTTTGATAAAAATTAATAAAATAAGAAATATGTGAATTTCACTTAATTTTAATTCTTGCAGACTATATTTGTGTTTTCATTTTCTTTTGCATTTCACACTAAAGTCCTATTAAGGAATTAAAAAGGAAATTACTATCACGTTATTCAATTCGTAAAATGCAAATCATTTTATTACACACAAAATGAAGCAACGTTTACTCTGTACAGAAACAAAGTTACTCATGTACATTATTTGATAAAATAATGATGATAACTAAGGCCAATAAACTATCTTCTCCGCCTTTCTCCTTGTCTCTGTCCCTTTGTATCCAGCAACGAATCCAACACCTGGCTAGTTTCGGTGGCCGCTGGTGCTGGATTCACCGATATTCAATTTGTTTTTGGTGCCAATATATTTATCGTTTAGGAATATATATATATATGTAACTTCCTTTCGTTGACAACAAGCTACTGTGGTTCAACTGGTTAGAGTACTACATAAGTAACGAGAGTCTTGTGTTCAACTTTCAACGATAGCAATTCCTTTTACAATTATTTTAGTTTAATATTTTTCACCATTTAGGAGCATAGAGGCATTAAAACTGATGCAACTGGAAGATTTAAACCTATAATCTCATTTGGAATTATGAAACACTTGACCACTCAGACACCTAATGGATGTTGGCAATATATGTAATAAAATTCTATATGTTCTTTTTATCAAGTAATAGATATTGTTGATCTCAAAAAAATACGATAACAGAATCTCGGCCACCTCGCTCCATGTAGGCATTACTAGCACACTAGAACACCCCAATTAGAAGACAAAGGCTACCAGTCAAGAATAAGCTTTGGCGACCGTTTGTACTCAAACAATCAATTCAAGGGTCGAACAAGAGATAAAGAGAGTGCAAGAGAAGGAAATAAGATTCGGCTAGGGTTAGGGTTACTTTTTGTGAAATGGAGTCACGTATATATAGAGAAATGAAAATGGGCCAAGTGGTTAATGGATCGAGTCCAAGCCCAATATGAAGTTATTTAATTAAATAGTCTAATCAATTGAATAGTCGATGTCATGTCGGCATATATGCGACCCCTTCCGTCATGTGTATGTTACGTAATTTATAGGTGTAACAATAGTCCCCTAAGTCAGAGTCATAATTCATGTGTGGGTCAGACTTCGAAATATAAGTATCAAGAAGGTGAAGGCTTATATATTGCCTCAGAAATTTGAGTAGCTTCAACAAGCGAGGACTTACGAATTGCCTTAAAAATATGCATCGATCTTAAATAGGCGAGGATTTAGGAATTGTCTTGAGAATATAAACCACTCAAATAAGTGAGGATTTACGATCTATCTCAGAAATATTTATATGAGCATGAATAAGCGAGGACTTACAAATTGCCTCGAAAGATAGTTACTGCATATAATTTGTCAAAATTTCGACAGCATCTCCTTTGTAATATGGATTAAACCAACCTATAAAACAACATAATATCTCCACAACACATATATGAAATCAATTGGGATACATTTGTCCTTCACATTACTCAGGACTGATAGCCCAAGAATAACTAACCAAGATGGAGATGAATTGGTTTTTAAAACTTTTTGGAAGAATTAATCTAAATCCAAGTAAGTAAAAATTAAATAGATTAATTCAAACAATAAGTACAAATATAAAAGCGATAAGTAAAAGGGAGAAATGATGCAAATGATATAATTGTAGAGGTTCGATCCAAAGTAATCATCTACGTCCTCCATTACCAAGTTCTCTGGCACAAGCAATGTCAATTTCACTATGTTGATTGACTTGTGTTGCAATTCAACCCTTTACAAAGCTTTCGGTGACTTACACACAAGGAACACCGATTCTTATATAACGTTGAGCTTTACAGGACCTTAACATGACCCACAAGTTTAAGGAGAATTGATTTTACAAATTGAAACTTCTCTCTTAATAAATGATATGATCACAATTAAATACCAAAAGAGAAATAAAATAACGCTTTAATAAGCAATGAATAAAGTTTAAATGTTAGATATGAAAAACTTTGATGTATAGAATGATTTTAACAAGTTAATTTGGCAAAAAGTTTTTCAACACTAAAATGATTTGATAATAATAAATGATATGAAAAATCAATACAATTTTGCTCAAAAGAATCTCACTTGAATGCTCTTAAGTTGTTGTAATAAATAGTAAGTGAGTTGGTATTTATAACAGTTGAAAACTTGAATTTTTCTACCGAACTGGATGACCATCTGGACGTCTGGAATAATACTAGATGACTAAAAATATCCGTTGCAAGTCAGAATCAGAAAGATCGAATTTTCAACCGTTGCGACCGAACCGAATGTCTGATTCGCCATCCGGACTTTCGGATGGCTAGATTTTGGCCTCTTTTTTTTTTTTTTTGCAACCGGTAAGTTTTTTACATGACATTTTTACTTGATTTTTCAAGGTAAGTGATGCTAATAGGATTGAAAATTAAGTTTAAAATCTTACCTTTGGAAACCACTTTTTGTGCAAACTATTTCACGAGGTAAGCTTTTATGGTGCATAAATGTTTGTCACTTGAGCTTTCGACGAGTCATTGCTAGGAATTCAAATATTTTACCTTTACAAGTGAGTTCAAACATATAGTTTTAATATCTTCAATTGATTTGGAGCGAGTGCACGATTTGTTGTTCGATTTTGAATTTGGTGCAAGTGCTCGATTTGTCTTCGATTGTTTTGGTACGACTGCTTGATTGAGAATGCTTGATTTCCATCTCAAGCTTTCTTGATCGCTACCTTCACGTCATTTGATAGCAATTGTTTTGTCTCCAATTTGATCAGTTCGCAACATGTAAAAAATGAAGATTCGAATAAAAATGTTAGAGATAAAGATATTTTGTTTGTTATAATTAAAACATAAGATTAATCATAGGTCAACAATTTCTCCCTTTTTGATCATGACAAACAAATGATGATTTACAATTAAAAAAATACTTTATTGCATATGATTTGAACGTTGCTATACTGTTTCCCTTCTCTTTTATAGATCAAGCGTATGATATTGTTCCATCTTTCTTATACAAGTCAAGCATGCAAAAAAAAGAATGAAATCGCATAAAATTGAGAACATAGTGAAATATTCATCATGAAACAAACCAAAACATTAATCATGAAGCGAAAAGAAATATCTATCGTAAACCAAATAAGGTAAAATTCATCATGAAGAAAAATAACAACTACGGCTTCGGAGAAGGAAAGTGGGCATAGAAATGGGAGTAGAAGGCATTCTGTTGAGCTTGCATCACCGCCTGTTGTGCTTGAATTTCTTCCTATTAAGCTAGTATGGGGGACTGTTGAGCTTGTATGGCGGCACGTTGAACTTGCATCTGATGGAACATCCCGTCGAGGCCGTCAACCAAGGATGTGAGGGAGTCAATGTGGCCTTTCAACATGTTGCATTGATCATCGGTAAACATGAAGTCGTTACCCAAAGATCGAGGGATACTAGAGCCCAAAATGTTAAGAGGAGGAATATGAGCTTCCGGTATGTCATCGTCATCACCCTCAAATGGTTAAGTTGAAGGACCCGATGTGGGGTCGAACCCTTTGGTATATGCCAACCACTGACCGTGTTCTTTGGTGATTTTCATTTGTTTAAGAGTTTGAATATTTATAGTGTCGGTGGGTCAAAGTTGGACAAAGGTCTCATCATCCAACGAAATGTTAAAGTTTTTAAATTTTTTTGTGAGAAGCATGCCGTATAGTAAACTTTTAATGTGTCATGATGAATGAAAAAATCGTTATGAGTCCTAATGCAATGGTGGGAAAATCAAATTTGCTACCGACAAGAAAAGAGTAGAAAAGAAAGAGATCAAACAAACTCACTTCATCTCGATGACCCTTTCGTACTAGGATAACATTTGCAATGATGTTTTGTAAAACCTTACTTGGAACATTCAATTGATTTGCACTAACTTTTGTGATATTTTCAAAATTTTTCTGGATAACTCGACGATAAGACTCAGTAGGGTCATAGCCGTCTAACGTGGGATGTGCCTTGTGAAGAAAAATTTGTGTTGCACACACCTTAAGTTCTAAAATATTACGAATGAAAGCTTTGTTTATGACAATGCGTTTATTTTTAATCAAACATGAAATGTCACCTGAACGGGAAGTAATAGACATGTTTTTGTAAAATTCTTTCATGAGTTGAGGATATGCATGCTCTTCTAAAATTGCAATAGAAATCCAACCCATATTTTCAAAAAGTTCTTCTATATGAAATGCGGATACTTCAGTAGTAAAATCCTCAAAATCAACATTTTTACCTATCAAAATGGGAGATTTTTCAAATGGGTTAATCGGTACCTCAGGTTCCAAATCCGACTTTTCGTTGGATGACGGAGAGGGAGATTGCCTCACCATGCTCTTGAGCTTTTTTTGTTCCATTTGTTTTGAGCCCAACATTGTTGGAAATCGAGAATGTAGAGAGGAATATGAGAGGTTAGGGTTTCAATTTGGCAAAATTGGAAAGTAGAGGTTGAAATTTAGAATTTCTTGAGGAATTGAAATGTAAAAGTAATGAATTTTTGATTTTGATAAGTAATTGATGCTTAGAAATGGAAGATTGAGTGAGGGAGAAGAGAACTAGAGAGAGAAAAGTGAGAAAAGGTAAAAAAAAAAATGGTATGTTTGCGATTTTAAAAGGCTGATTCGCGTTGAACCGGACATCCAGTTGGACAAAAAAAAAATCTGTCAAACCGGACGGCTGTCCGGAAGGTCCGATTTCTCGTCCGGATCCCTCCATTTTTAAATAATACTAAATCACATGAAATAATGAGATGAAGACATGTAAGCGTATGTAGTTATGAACTTAATCATGTACTTCAAATTCATCAATAATGCCTAAACCTCTTCCAATATGTGATAATCGATTAAGACTTGGATGTTTAGTGAAGATATCGGCCAATTGATTTTCCGTGTTTACAAATTCTAGTAAAATATCATCCTTTTGAGAACGGTCTCTTAGGAAGTGCTGTCTTATTTCAATGTGCTTCGTCCTTGAGTGCAAAATAAGATTTTAAAACAAGTTTATGGCACTAGTGATATCACACATAATGGGTATATGATCAAAGGATATGTGATAATCACTACGAGTTTGTTTCATCCATAGAACTTGTGCACAACAACTAGCTGCCGAGATATATTCGGCTTCGACGATAGATAATGCAATTGAATTTTGTTTCTT